GTAACCTGAAAACTGATAACAGAGAAAAAAAGGAGTGTGTTCCAAGTCGTATGGTTTAATAAATGTTTAAGATTGTATGTCTGCTAATTAGATAAATGGTGGAGTTAGAAAATTTCCTTGGGGAAGAAAGATAAAGACACAGAAGAAAAATTTTGTTTTGGTGATTGAAAGATTTTTTTCATTTTATTTTTTGAAAGGCATGGATTATTTTGAAGCAGATAAAGACATGCAAACAAGTTTGGTTTTTTTTTTTTTTAATATCTTATGGGACTTTCAGCTTTTGTTTGAGCAGAGTTGGGGTCTTGTCTTTGTGTTTACAGAGAAAAGCATTTGAGAGCATCTTTTTGTAAGAGATCTAACTAAGAAAGCAGCAGCTTGGGACCGTCAGCTGGTATTTTGTTTAAGCCTTTACTTTTTGTTGCTTTATCAGAAGTGTTTGGGCCCTTGCAAGCTGGTTTTATGTTCTTTCACTCACCCTCTTCCGCTTTCAGCCGACCTTTCCTGCTAGGATGGCTTCCTGCCTGGCACGGCCACTTCCTCACTGACAAATGCAAGTTGATGTATCTCCCCCCTTTCTCTGCAACACTTTCTTTTTAGAAACATTTATAGGTACTTCGACGTTCCAGTGTCAGAACCTCTGGGCTACACAGATAATACACACAGCCTCAGCCTTAACCTACGTGGTACAAGCATAGGGTACCCAGACCTTTGTTCTGGAAGTGCTTGCATAGGGTGTCTTGACCCTCGGAACAGATCTTACAGAGGAGGTGGAGCTGGGAATGCTCTCCACTACTGCGGAGAGGAACTGTGCCTTGGTGGGGGAGAAGGTGGAGCTGGGAATGCTCTCCACTACTGCAGAGAGGAACTGTGCCTTGGTGAGAAGGCACATAGGATTTGGGGTGTCCTCCCATGGTCACAGGTGGTTGTCAGTTACCCCACAGCTCAACTAAACTGAGGGGGTAGGTCAGGCTCCCTGCTTACAGGTTTTATTTCTTAGCTTGGGCAAGTCTAGAGTGTATGTGTGGCCAGTTCCCACGCTTCTCCTGGTGCAACATAACTCCCCAAGCTCTTGTAACTCTCCTAGTCCTTAAATTTCAAAAAGCATTTTTTGTGCACGCTGCTGTTATCATGCATCATTCAGAATTTCTGCTGAGCTCTTTGCCTTTACCTGTTGTTTTCATCTAGGTATGTAACATACAAAATTTTGCTAGAATTGTGAGTTTAAACAATGCAAGTACTTGGACAACTACTTTAATTTTTTCAGAGTTTGAGATCTAGACCAGGGTAAAACTCTCCTCCTACAGCACAGCTTGAAACTTTTCCTGAAAAAAATAAAACTTAATGTAATCTCAACGAGCATGATATAGGGAGGAGTAAAACAACCAAAGAGTGTATGTACTGATATCGATGTGAAAAATAGAGAGCTGAATAGAAATGCTTCAAAAGACTTGAGCTGTTTTGTTGGGTTTTTGGTGGGGCTTTTTTTTTAGTCAGGAAACTATTATCAAAACCCGTTTTGGATTTGTTCATCTGGTCTGTTTTGGTTCTTTTAAGGTAAACTTAGGATTTTGTAATCAGTGACCTCAGCACAGGAGTTTGCTCTGCTTATTGAATGAAGAATAGAAGCACAGTGTGACCTACATTTCCGTTCAGTTTGTAATCAGTGACCTCAGCACAGGAGTTTGAGCTCTGCTTATTGAATGAAGAATGGAAGCACAATGTGACCTACATTTCTGTTCAGTCGGATGGGATTTGGGGTGTCGTGAGATACCAGCAGAATGCTAATTGTGAGCCAAACAAACTAGCTGGTTCCTATCTGGAGGATTTGCTTTCAGCCGAGGACATGTCAGAGATTAGTCTTGTAAAGTACTGAAGTGTCCATCAAAGGTACCTCTTCAAATGTGACCAAACCCCACCACCTCACTGTGCAGGCTTCAGGAAGCTCCTGTTTGCAAAGTAGGATGTATTTTTACTAGCACTACTATACCATGAACTAAACCTCAGGATTATTTAGCTATTACTGAGCAATGTGTGTTTGACACAATAGGGACAGCTAACACTGTAAAAAGAGGAGCTTCTAATCTAAATTAGATACGTTATTTGGGTTGAACTTAGTAAAAGATTGGATAGGAGATAAACAGGTAATGGGGGAGAGAAGGGAAGGGATGGGAAGGAGTTGATCATAGTTAGGTCTAATCAAAAAGTTCCTTGAGGAATTATGGGGAGAGAAAACAAAAGCAAGAATTCCCTTGAAAACATGTCTCTGAGTAAAAGCTAGAGAATCATATAGGCCTCAATCTCTTTTTTAATTTCTTTTTCTCCACATTTTATTATTATTATTTGCATCCATGATAAAATAGAAGTGAGGACAACTGTATGATTGGAGGGGTTTTTTGGTGGGGGAGGGATTTTTTTTTATTAAGTATGAGAAGGTAGTGCTTTATCTCATTTTGTTCACTTTACTGGAGGATGACTTATTTTTTCGAGGCAGACAGAAAAAGAGATATGAAGGGGAACTGAAAATCTTAGGAAGCTGCGGAAGGAGGGGGATGGTAGATTTTCCATAAAAACTTTCAGAGGTCTAATTAAGAGTTGCCTTTTGGAGATACCAACATCTTGTTAGTTCTGCTTTGTTATTTGTATAAGCGGCTTAGATGTGGTTTTTGTCCTGACAAGTTACATTCTGGGAGAGCAAGGAGGAAAGACAACAGTTAAATCAGCATTGGAAAGCTGGTTGAATGAATTGCCTCGAGGAGGGATTTAAGAAGCTGCAGAGAGAAAAGGATTTCAAAAGGCAGCAAAGACAGATGTTTGAAGCTGAGTAGAAGGTGTTACCAGCTTCTGTGCTAGGCATCAGACACCAACACATAGCTCAAGCTTTGAGATTAAAAATCACAGGGCTTCACTGCAGCCCTTTTCCAAAGTTTGCCTATGAGATGGGATGTGAGGAGAGGGGCAGCTTTTGGCATCTAGACCCTGCATTACCTGGTAGCACCCATAAGCACTGTTTTGACATTATGATTAGTTCAAGTCTTCACAAGGATTTCCAAAATAAACTTAATCCTCTGCTGGAGGGAGGAAAACTGGAATTTTGGGAGATAAAGTGAAATTCTGGGAGGGAACGTATTGCTCACAGCCCCAGTCCCCCCCACCTCGATGCACTGACACCCCAGCCCCCACGTCTTCTCAGTATTCAGTCTTGCCAGGTTCCTTTTGACCATATTCTCTTCTAGCAAGGTGCTTGGTACACAGGTTCAACTCCAGGCATTTCACAGTAGCTGACTGCCACGCTAGTCTGTTAGGTCACTTTGTTCTCATAGCCTTTCTAATGTATTCAGTGCCTTGACAAATTTTCTTGGCAAGAGCTTTATAAAATGATACCATATTGTGCATAACTTAACATGCCGTTAAACATCAGAACATCTTCTACCATACAAGTCCTGAAGTCCATCACTAAGCTCAGAAATCAGAACAGCTCCAATACTTGAGTGCTCTTTGTACGGAACAATAAGTGGTAGGAAGGCAGCGATTTTTGTAAGGAGTCACTTTTGTCTCTATTTGTCTTCCACTTTTTTTTTTTTAAATGGAATTGAAAACAGCAGTATCAGTGAGGAGACTGATCAGCTAAGCTGAATATTGATTAGCTCCTGATATGACAAAACTACACTTTGTGCTGCTGCAGTATTTTAATCATGCTCGTAGCATTTCAAACTGAAGGGGTGTTGGTCAGCTGATTTAAATGCTTTGGTATTTGTGCCTCCCCGCCCCCATTTCTGAATATATGCTTCCATTTTTCCTAATGTCAAGAAAATGTTGAGTTTTCAGACTGGAAGCTTATTGTGTCTCAGTGTTTGATCTCCAGTTGCTCAAAGGTTAGGCGCTACAGGGGGTGAGTGGTTAAACTGTTCACAGATGCCTTGCAACTAGATGCTCCTTCATCTCTGCTCTCTGTGTGTTTCACAAAATAATTTTATCCACAGTTGGTGTTTATTTACAGGAAATACTTGTAAACAACTGGTGGCATTGTGCATACAGATGTCAGACTGCAGTGTGTGACATTTGGCACTGTAAGGAAACTTTCAGTTTCTGAAAGCAGTTTATTGTAGTGGATGCACATTTTCTTAGAAGACTGTTTTTTCTAATCAGAGGCAGGAATACTCATTTGCATGTCACTATCATGTTGCTCCTCGAAAATCAAAAGAGAATATATTACCTTTAAGCAAGGCTGACACGGAATTGACATTTCAGCAAGAGCAGGCAAGCTGGGGCAGCGTCCCCTGCGGGCCTGCCTTTGGTTTTTGTTTTCGTTTCAACAACCTTTAGCAAGTGTTTTCCTATTATGTAAAAATTTTACTGTAATGAAAACATTAGAGATCAAGAAGTCAGGTATGTCTTGAACTTGCCATCAGGATTATGATGTGCCTTCAAGCTGTTTTACTTTCTGGGGAGGCAGCAGTTGTTTTTAAAGACATTGTGTGCCTGATGTGAAGCTCGGTGTTTGTCCAGTAGTGGAAACGCTGTCTCTGACTAGCAGTCAACTTGTTAGGTGACTCAAACCTCGTAGTGAAGAGGAGTGGTTAGGTAGTGTTTGTGGAGGAAGACATGCTTGCATCAAAATGGCAATGTCTTTGCTTGGTTGGAACAAGACATGGTCCCAGCTTGCACAGGTTTTCCCTGTGTGAGCCTAGGACTGTCAAAGCACGTTTCTTACTGACCATGGTGTCAACTGATGCAAAATTAGTTTGTGACAAGGTTCTCATGTAGAAACTGGAAAATGTGTTTGAACTTGGCTGTTCTGAGATGGATGATAGTGACCACAGTATCTTGGATAATGCAAACTTCTGATTAGGGTTTTTAAATGTTGGTGGTGGAATAGCTGTTATTTCAGCTTCATCACTGATGAAAGGAAGATGAGCAGTTGTGGTGCAAGTCTCAGGATACCCTTGACAGTCCGAAACTTGTACTGACCTCTTAGTGCTGGTTTCTGCATGCCTCTGCAGCTCTTGGTGCAAATCTTCTGCTCTCTACGCTGCAGGTGGGACGGAGGTGTGAGGGTTTGAGGTGGGTTTTTTTGGGGGGTGTGTGGGGGTTATATTGTTCTGCAGTACTAGAGGGGTGTATTTAGTATGCATCTCTCTGTTGCTGTGGTACAAGCAAGCTTGACTTGCATGTCGGAATATAAGGCAAAGCTTTTCCTTTGTATTTTTGTCACAGCATTTCTAATATATGCCCTTTAAACAGACTAATAGCAGTTGCATATTTTTCTGTGCCTATAGCAGTAATAGCTTTTTAGATTTATAGCAGGTATTTTGTTTGTGCAATACTTGGAACTTGATAGAATGCACACCCTTAGGCAACAGATTCATTATTCACCGTAGCAGAGAGGCTGGCAGGTAGAAAAGCAACTGGGGATCTCATGTTTCAACTAGGTGGCATAAGTGTTATCAGCCTTGACCATCAAGTAGTGCCTTTAAAGAAAAGTATGGTATGCCTAAGGGTAAAATATGCTCATGATACCATTGGTTCTTATTCACATAGTTCTGTGAAAAATGCTTGTTATGCCATGTGTAGGTGTATGGAAACAAACAAGTATGCCTGTGTGTATGTATGTATATGTATGTGTTTAAAAAAGTCAGGTATTTTAATTCGGTTGGTATTTGCAATACTTCTGGGCTACAGTTCCGTACATCTTGAGTCACATATGAGATACAGATGGAGGCTTCTGTGCTTTGCTAACTTGGACATGTCCCTTGTTTTCTCTCCACACACCCCCCACCCCCCCCAGGGTAATAAATGCAGGGAAGAGCACGCACAATGAAGATCAAGCCAGCTGTGAAGTCCTCTTTGTCAAGAAGAAAGCTGGAGGCGTTAATTCTACACCAAACAAGAACTCTTCAACAAAACGGAGGTCATCGCTGCCCAATGGAGAAGGTCTCCAGCTGAAAGACAATTCAGTAAGCAGACTTCTGTATCTTGTCAATGGAGAAGTACAAAATAAATATAAAAGGAAGTGGCAATATGACACTAAAAGATGTTTACTGAATGTTTCATATACTTTCAGTTACCTCTTATTAATTATCTCTGCTTAAATACAGAACACAACTATATTTTTCTTAGCTCTACTACTTGATTTTTGATTTCTTGCATTGAAAAATGCTCCTTGCATGTAAGACATTTTAGTTTAAAGATGGGGAGGGAAATACTCCTTGGATTTTCCTTTTTGTTTCATTTCTGAAAATATAATCCTGAGAAATTTACTGCTGCAGAATACTGTGAGTTTAATGGCTGTGGTTGACTTGTCCAGTGACGGTCACTGCAAGCATGGCAGTATCACCATTTATACAGTCATACAATTTTATTAAGGGTTAGACAGTCATTTAGGTTCTTTTCACTGAAGCAGTATTGCGTGTAGCAAGGATGGTTTATGTAGGTAGGGTAAGGTCATCCAGCACACTGAATTCAATGATTTTTGTGGACTATGGCTCCTGTCTTTGTGTGGAGAGTGATGTACGTCATGCACTTGTTTACTGGCAATCGTTAGTCTTCATCTGTCTTGTTTCCTGACTGGCTAATTACTTCATCTGCTCTTTAAGCATGAGCTCAGGCTCCAGCAACGATTGGTAGTGTGTGTTTGGTTCAGACATTTAGCCATGTAACACTAAATGCCCTGTCTGAATGTTGGAGTCGGACGACGTGGATATGCAGTCTTTCTGCTGCTGGGAGAACACAAGTTCTCCCTAAGTGATAATTAGTCTTTCAGTGGACTGTAAGTACCCTTTTTTTGGTTTTTGGGGTTTTGTTTTTGTTTTAAACCAGGTTGTGATTAGTAGTCTGCTTCAGTCTCTCTCCCAGAATCCCATGGCTTGGTACACCTGATGGCTGCAGGGGTCATTGGGGTCCTGAGCAACAAGCATTCCTCTTGCACTGTGTCCCTCCCCACCTCTTGCTCCTCGTGTTCTGTTTCATATTTCATTATTGCTGCAACATTTTCAGACTCTGACAGATTTTCCAGGTTTGCAAATAGCCCTGTTCTTTCTTCTTTCAAATCTTTCCTTAAATCACCTGTCCCAGTTCCTGTGTGTTGATATTCCTCATTGTATTCTGACAGTCATGATTTTTTTCCAAGTACATATGTGAACACTCCTGGATAAAGAATTGTGCCCTGTGCTCGCTGGGGCTAATGAGTTCTGTGTACACTCATGCAAGGCAAAACAGAATTTGTTTTAATAGTCTGTGTTTTGAAAAGTCTTTTCTAGAAAGCCCGTGCAACTGTCTGCTATTGGCTCATGCGGATGCTTGGTTCCATGAGTGTATTTAATTTTTGTATGCATTAATTATGTTTAATGAAGCAAGCATTTGGCCACAGTACTTGTTCATGTATATAAAACACATCAAGATAAGCAACAACGTGCTTCGGCCAGGTAATGGGTTTGTTTTGACGCAAAGGGCATCGCTGTGTCATGCACACAGCACACTGACACCCTGTGCAGTCACCAACCTGGGTAGGCACATCTTGGTGCTGTGCAGAGGTACGCTCTGATCTAACACCACATTTAATGATTCTATGATTTAATTTCCAGGCCTACCATGTGAGATACCTGGTCAGGGGCCTCTGCATCTGGGATGTGGGTGAATGTAGCTGTGCTGAATTTGCCTGTGTTTTGATATTTTGGGGGCATTCATGGGACATAGAAAGCTTTGTAGCAATGTTTCACAAAGTCCAGTTAACTTCCAGCTTTGAGTAGTATCAGATGCTTCTTGAGAGCAAAAGGCACACTATGTTGTATATACTATACTGCATGGTTAATCATCTTCCTCAGAAGGAACTTTTTTCCAAACATTACATAGCTAATATGTTTATATTGCATTAAAAATACAGGGATATAAAACTATTTCATTATTGGAAAGATGTCTTCACTAGCCTTGATGGTATCCGTCATTATGGTCATCATACTGTTATGATATCATAATGGTAGGGTCTATAAATTGACTGCATATTTTTGAAAGCTGTTCTTTTTATCCATTTTAAACTTAATGATTGTCAGCCTTGTTAAATATCCAATTGCCCTGTGTTATGAGAAGCATCTCGTAGAATATTCTGACTTTTCTTCCTCTCTTCATTAGTGTATTTCCTACTTTGATTCTGTATTTTTTATCTCGATTTTGGAATAAATGGCCACTCCCTTCCAAGCTTCTTGAAACATTTTTATTTCAAATCTTCTGTTCTTTCTTCTATTTCTGACACATTTTGACGAGAAATGAGCATAATGTCTGAAGTGAGGAGCCAGCTGATCTGTATAATATAGTATTCTGTTTTCATGCTACTTGTTATCATGTTCTTTATATGTTCTCTTCTTATCTACAGATTTACTTCTGTTTTCTAGATGATACTTGAACGAGTGCTATAGCACTCATTATTTAGCTGTGTAAAACCTATTCTACCATGTTATTAGACCACAGCTTGTGAATTTATATTTGTAATATATTTTCCCAAAACAGGCAGCATATTTCTGGAAAAAGTTTTCTACTAGAGGGCAGTCTTACACTATCAATTAGTAGGATTTTTTCCTTGGTACGTTTCTTTGCTGGTTGAATACATTTAAAAAGAAAAAAAAAAGTACACATTTCTATAATGTATCATACTTTTACATTTTCATATTTTTGTACTGTAAAGTATAATATTGTGTTTTGCCCTCACATAGTGTTGTTAGCAAATATTTTTTAAGGAGTGTATGAGTTGGTATTAAATGTGATAAGGGTGCAACTTACTCTGTATCAATAGGATGTAGAAATACAGACTTGAGACACTCCAGTGAATGGTATAATATCATCCCGGCAAGTATTTAGTAAGAAAGCCAGAGGCTGAATTCTGTAAATGCCTCCTAGGGAAATCCCACCGTAACACATGATCTGGAATAATCTCTGAGTGGTGAAGCACCTTGTAGAAATATTGAAGGAAGGCGGCATGAGGGAAGCAGTTTATTGAGTATTTGTCCAATGAAAAGAAAGATTTATTCTTGTTCTTGTTTAGTTTTTTAAAGTTGATTGCTATATATTGTTAAGGGTGCCCATTTTTTTTCTATAACTGAGCCCCAATTATGTGTGTGTGTATATATATGCATTTTCTTTCATGATTTCTCATCCGTTGCTTGACCCAAAACTTTGCATGTCTTAATTATATTTTATAATTGCAAAACCCAGGAGACTGCTGAACCTTCCTGAAAGCTAGGTCAGCAGTTGAGGAGCCTGAAGCTTATTAAATCTCCTAGTACATACTAGAAATTAATTGTAAGATCAGTGCAGTGAAGGATCTGTTTGCTTTTCATATATCTGGTAGTTATTCAGAACGTTGTTAAATCTGAATCTTTTGAAAGAAAATGTAAAATAAATCACTGTGTTGACCAGTCATACTCTCACGTGAGGCCTCTGTCCAGTTAAAAGAACAAATGAAGATTGATGTTTGAAAGACTGCTTTTGACAGAATACCGCCAGACCTAGTAGAAATAGATGTCTTGTTCTCTGAGAGTCTGCAGAATGTCAGTACTTTTGGGAAGAAGTTCAAACTCCCAAATGTGAAAGAGAGAACAGCCATGCATATGCATACAAAAATAGGTAATCGCTTGGTGGCTGCGGAGGTCATCTCAGCTGTGGGAGGAAAAGCAAGGACCTTTTTGTGCTTTTTGTCTCATCTGTGTGCCCTGACTGCTGGCCCTGGTTCGTTCTCCAAGTCGCTGCTTTATTTGCCCCATATATTTAATTCTCATCAAATTGGTATGGTTTTGGAGAATTCATTTCTTTCAAACAGAGGAGCTGTTTTTATTCTCAGGGTGGGGGAAACGAATTTGTTTCTTCTTCCTTTTTTAGACAGCTAATAGGTTATTCATGGTTATACTCTCTTTGCTAGTTCAAAAGTAAATGAAGCTTCGTAGGAATACATAGAAGTTTCTGGAGACTAATATTTAGGTTACAGTAATGCCTGCAGATCCCAACTGAAGTTAAGGCCCTGGAGCATCTCACACAGAATGTGTGTATAAGAGCAGTGTTGTGGTAGTCATCTCCCCTGACTGTATATGCTTTTAATACAGACCTCTCAGTTATCTAGTGTACTTCCACAGTTGATAGGGAGAAATAAATCTACTTTGGAATGAGATGAGCATAGTCTGAAAGTACGGGATTTCTTACTCCCTGCTAAGTATAAGGGCAATTTAGAGAACTGTCTTGGAGGTGTGCAATGTAGATGTCTGAACTTAGCTGAACTGGTAGCAACACCCTCTTGTTTAAGAATTACTAGTCCGAAAAGGACAAGATCAGGGAACTCCAGAAGAACCACCATAGCTGACGTGGCCATGCTGCGTTCATGTCAGTGACAGCCCGAGAATACAGCTCAGGCCCATGGGAGCTTCTCTGTCTTAATTTGTGCTGCCCATTGGCTTAGAGGAAATAAGTGGTAACATCTCAATTTCACTTTTTGTCATGGGCCATTGTTCTGGTCTGTTTTAAGGCTTCCCGGTCTCTGATGGCACCTTATTTGGCTACCAAGCTCACATGAGGCTTGTTCAATGTTGGACGTATCCAGTGTTTGTGCTCATAATAATGAGAGTGAATTGTGTTAATAACTGTTCTTTATTTTCTGAAAAACTCTAATACAGACTTTGGTGGGGGCTTTCTTTGGAAAACTTAAGAAAATTGGGGGGAAGGGGTTTAAACTTGTTCTTAATTGTAAGTTTCTGTTATAGTTTGGGGGCAGGGGGAGGGCAATGACAAAATATCTTCTTCCTCTAGGTGGAAGGTAAAATATTTCCATTTCAGTCAGAGGTGTAATGCCTTTATGCTTTTTCCCCCAAAGGCAGCACATCTCCAAAGGAGTAGCACCTTTCGAATGACATGAGGACATAAGCTGTGGAAGCATTATCCATGGTGCATCATGAGGTGGATTTTGGCTAGGGAGCCAAACCCTAAGAGAAGAATGGGAGCAGAAGTAGTTTGATCTACAACTCCCAGGAGGCACAGTGTCGCTATTTTGAATAAATTATTTCTGTTTTCAGCTGAAATATTTTCACTTTGGGATACTTGTTTCTGTTGGCAAAATACATTTTGCATGAATAGCAATCTATTTTTACAAACAGGTTTTTTAGTCAGTAATCCTGTTATCCGTTAAAAAAGGCTTAAACAGAATTTTACAGCCAACTGTTGTGTGAACTTGGAGGGATTCTGAGCCCAGAGCAAGCTAGCACAACTGCCAGTCATGCCTTCAGGGGTGAAGTTTCACAACAGTTTTTTTGGTGAATTTACCAGACTGGGTAAGTGGGTGGGTCTGCCTAAGGAGCCGCATTTGGAAATGTGTACATTTGTTGGGTTTTCCACCATTACAGGTTGTATCTATCCTGTATGATCCTTACTGTGGTAAGTAATTCAGTAGGACAATACTCCCTTTTCTCAGCATTTCAGTAATGAAATGAAGAGTGCACATTAGACTGCTGATTTCCTTCTCTTGGAGGAACTCTCCACTGTGTAGATGACTATATTGTTAATGCACTGGTTAAGAGTATGAACTTTACTACAGCAGCAATGCTATAAGCTAAAAAAAAAAATAAATAATAGACTTTTATGTAATTTTTATAATCAAGGCTTTTAAATGTGCATTTCAACAAAGTTATAAGTAATAATGCTTATTCAGCAATGAATTCTGCCCTTTGAACAGCATGAACTTGTAGTGATGGTCTATATACATGTTGCTAGAAGAGACATTTTGCATTAGGTTTTGGATTTTGTAGCTCGAGGCAATAACGAATGATGTCTTTTGGATCTGCAAATGACAATTCATGGTGTTCTTACTCCAACCTGTCTGCCATGTCCTGCAGCCAGTGGTTGGCACCTTTGTGGAGCAGCTGGAAGCAGAAAGTAAAAGGAGCTGCAGTTCACAGCCCTGTCCAGAAGCTTGAAATAAGCAGTGTTTTGGGCATGAGGTGCTGGGGTGCAGGTGGTGCCTAGACTATATGCTGATCTGTTGCATAAGGGAGCAGTGTTCGGGTGAATGAAACAAATCACGTCTGTCATCCTAAATTAGACCACAGTCGGCATGACATGCAGATACAATTTTTAAGTTCTTTGACTGCAGTGAGATCTAGGTTATGCTTTCTTAGTATGAGGTGTTTTGCAACAGTATTGCCCGATTTCTGTCCCTTGCAAAATTATTTATTTCTAAATCTGTATTAGTCCACCCACATCTGACTTGCAAGGCAGCCCCACAAACAGTTGTTTCAGCATAGCTGGGAGAAGGTGCAGGATTAAGAAGAAATGGAGGGGAAAGGAGAGACTGGAAAGATTCTTTCCACATGCTGCTGCCAAATATGCTGTCGTGCAAAGACAGGTAATGTTATGCCTTAAATGCTTCCCTGAGGATTCCTAGGTGAATTTCTCCCCAAAAAAGTTGAGGTTATCTAGGGTATGGCTCCTTGGTATTTTTCAGGCAGATCGGAGCTTGTGCTGCCCAGAACTTAGTCTGCCTCCAGCCCTGAGTTAATGGGCCCTACCTGAGTGATAGGGCACCCCACCGCAAAAACATGGTTTCTGCTCAAATCAGAGCAATAGTGGAGCTGACTGACACCTGTCAGAGGAGACTGTGTGGAGCAGAAGGAGAGAAATATTTGAAAATCGCATCATTGATCAATAACTGCTGAACAAATACATAACATTACCACATATACCTTAATTTTAATAATGAGGTCTACAAAATTTACTTTTTCTGGATACTCTGCCTATATGAGAGCAGTTGTGCTGACTGGCATGCTAGGAGTTGAGCTAAGGTATAAGATCTAAAAGCATACTATTATGCCGAGACCTATACCAAAACACTTGCATAGCTCTTCTGATCAGAGGGTATGTAACTCCAGTACTGTACGTGAAAGTTTTCAGAGGACTGCGAAGAACTAGGCAGTGAACGTGTAGGCTAGCACAGGTGGAGTGCAGCTGATCCCACTTGTGTCTGCCATCCTTGAGGACCTCTGCGCTGCGCGGTTTCCTGGGCTGGCACAGGCAGGGAAAGCCTGAGCTGTCCCATCTGCCAGCACGGATGGACCTTATCTACCAGTCGTGGAAGTGGGGATCACATCTTGTTACTAGGTGTCAAACTGAGGTCCTTCATCTCATGCCTAGTGGAAAAAAAAAGGTCTGTCACAGAAGTGTCAGGTGCTGTCTCGTGTAGAATTTTGGTCTCCATGGTGGTAGATTCATCATTTACCAATGATGTGATTTTTGAGTGCTTTTCTTCTGATGTACACAGTCATTAGGAAATTAACTTAGTCTCACAGTGCTAGCTGTGCTTGGTCAGTGCATCCTATGATGGCTGTAAGGTAAGAAAGATTGCAAGGTCAGCCTTTTTTTTTTTTTTGAGGGGGTTACGGAAAAGAAAAAAGAAAAAAAAATGGTGGGGATATGTGGCAAAAATAAGCATCTCCTTCTTGCCAGAGCTGTACTAACACAGTGGGTATTTCTCCATTTCAGAAAGAAGGTTACCTCTGGGAAAGTTACCTGTGTTTTACCTGCTGCCCCTGTGCCACCGGTCATCTCACTCGTGGCTGTGTAATGGTGATCATCTCTTTTCCTTCCCTTTCTTCCCCTTCTGCTTCTCCAGGACACAGATGGGATCAACCTGTACTACTGGTCCCTGTTCGATGGACACGCTGGGTCGGGGGCAGCTGTGGTCGCTTCCAAACTGCTGCAGCACCATATCCTGGAGCAGCTGCAGGAGATCGTGGACATCCTGAGGAACATGACCGTCCTCCCACCCACCTGCCTGGGAGAGGAGCCCGACAACCCGGCCACAAACAGCAGGACGCTGACACGGGCAGCCTCCCTGCGTGGTGGTGTGGGCGCCCCAGGCTCACCCAGCACCCCTCCAACACGCTTCTTCACCGAGAAGAAGATCCCACACGAGTGCCTGGTTATTGGGGCCATAGAAAGTGCGTTCAAGGAAATGGTATGTGTATCTCAGGGCTCTGAAGTCCTTGTTGTATACATTAATGAGTCACGTGGCCTGGAGAAGATGAACGTTTAGGGATTTTTTTCACCTTTGTTTTTTTTTTTTCTGCCCCTATTTAAACACCATCTGAGTGTGGACAGAATTATTTAAGAGCCTCAACAGCTTACCTGGTACATCCCTGTGAGCAGGAACTGCATCTTAAGTCCCAGGCAGCACCATGACACGTTTGTGGATTACTTGACTCTTAGAAGCTTGGTGCTCTCTTTCTCCCCCCCCCCCCCCCCCCCCCCCAAAGATAAAAATTAGTATTGCCTCACAGTAGCAGATTTCAGCATTGGCTGTTGTCACAGGGCTGTGTATATGGGCATGCACTTTACAAAGCCTCGTTGCCCTACTGGGGCAGCAGCAAAGGCTTTCAGCATTCCTTGCACCACCAACACACCTTGTTCGTGTTGCCCACAACTACATAAACAGGTCATAAAAGGTCACATCAGGGACATGGATGAGGGGCAGCATCCTTGATCCAATGACCTAGTTCACGTTAGTGTTGGAGTGGCTCATAAAGCACAGCAGCGACTGTAGAGAGTGTGTGTGCGGCTCTTGACTGAGGCAGGTTGGGTGTGGGCGAGTGGGGCATGAAGTATGTTCCTACCACCCACTTGACTTGTGTACAGCATGAACAACTGGGAGGAAATCACTACCCTATGGAAACAGAATATCCATCAATTTCCCTATGGAAGGCTGTTTTTTCTCTTTTGTAATTGATGTAGCTGCTCCGCACCCCTCTCCCTTCACTTCTCCATGTTATTAAAAATAATTCTTGTCAGGCAGAGCAGAGGCTTGGCCTGCCAGTGAGAACATGCAGATCAGGTCTTGGGAGATCTGATCTTGTTCATTTTCTTCTTTTTTAATTTTTTTTTTGTTTTTAGAAAAGCCTCTTACTTGAGCAGAAGGTTTTTGAACTAATGAGTGTTTCCCAGAGGTTTTATTGTCTGAAAAGAAGTATTCGATCATTGTTTTTCCTGATCCATGTGAATTTTGATTAGTACATGAATCTAATTAGAGACTACAGTTGTTGTTATAAGAAGTGGTGCTTCACTTTGAATTCTGAATAGCAATTATCTTGCTTGATTGTCCTTTCTCCCCGGGGAAGTGCAGGCAACAGACCCACCAACTGGGTTTGGACAGCACCATCTGACTTTTAGGTGGGTAGGTCCAGGAGTGGGATCCACAGCCGTGGCTTAGGCATCGTTCAGTGTGGGGCATGTGAGCGGGTTTATGCACTGTGGCTAGTGGGCTCAGTTTCTGCTAGCTGAAAAGAAAGAGGAGGACGCATGAAAATCTCCTGTCAGTTTAGCATGCCCTTTTCAGAAAGGGAGGACTAGCTTGCTGCCCTCTTTGTCAAGGAGGGAAAAGATGACACTGCCCATCCACTGCACCCTAGTGGGCTCAGAGCATTCTTGAGAGAGGGACACCGGTTTCATGCTTCAGTTGGGACGATTTCCAGGCCAGAAGAGTGCCAGGCTCTGAGTGCGTGACATGACTCTCTCTCTCTCTCTCCCCCCCCTGTTGAAACTGGCTCCAAGTGCAGGAGAGATTAGAAATGGAGTTTCATGGAACTGGAAAGTGAAGGTAAGAGAGCGAAAGAAGGGCCATTTCAAGTGCTCTACCTTTCTTATGAGAGCAACGTATGCATTACCCATTGCTGCCTTCCTGAACACATCTGAGTGAGCAGGGCTGTTACTGCCCTGCTTTATTTTGAGTTCACACCTCTGTTTGGTAGGTGTTCACACAGATGACCATCTCAGCTCATGTCCAGGCACCTGGCTGCTTGGGAGGGCTTTTATGGATAGAGTATGACAAATGCAGAAACCCTGCATAACTCGCTACAGATACAATGTCTGGGTATTCTATGTACGGGTCATAGTAATCTGTCATCCCTTTTTCTAAACTGAAGTCCAGAGAATATTTTCTTTTCTTCCCTGTGCCTTTGTTCATATGCTACAGATCAGATACCTTAATTCCCACTTTTGCTGTTTATCAGAGAGCTGAAGTTCGTTGCCCATCTTTGCTATATAAATGACTGTGTCTACCACAATGCAATACAATTTCAGCATTAAGTCTTACATTAAAAGGAAGTCTTAATAAAAATGGTCAGATGAAGAAAAGCAATAGATAATTATATCTACTTTAAGCTCTTGCGGGAGTCTTGTGCTTATAATTTGTTTAGGCAAAAGAGTATTTTCTTTTATCCGTGTAAGGGAGCGGTTCATAAGATCAATGCTCCTCAGTCTCATCTATGCTTGCAATGATTGATCTTCCTCCTACCTCTGCCTAACTTCCTGCTAGCTTATACTCCTAGTAGTCTTTGGGTGAAGATTTTGGGCCTCTTCCACAGCACATTGTTTATTCAGCCCTATTTTGTACTGGAACGTCATGGATGTTGTTAAGTTAGGTCAATGCAGTTGAGATGTGCATAATGCACGTGGGGTTTTTTGCCAGCAGAGTATCATTTTACCTGGCACTTGGTGAAAGCTTATGTTTCCTGGAGACGTAGGCAGACTTCTTCTTGTTTCCTGAAACACCCATTGCTGCAAAGGAGCCCTCTGAACCTGGTGAAAATGCTGAGTAGATACAGAAACCTTTTTTGGTTTTGTTTTGGTTGTTGTTTTTTTTTTTTTAAAACAGTCCAACCTGACAGTTTGTCCCCTTTTCCTGGGAGCATTTAGCATATCATTACTTTTTTCCCCAACTGCCTTTTGAATTCTAGTTAAGCTCTCCCTGTTTTTGCCTCAAGTCTCAAATAAAATGCAATTCATCCCTTTCAAAAGACTTTTCTTAAATTATTTTTCCTTTATTGGGTGTGGTTTCCTTTGGACAGTGCTTGTCCGACAGCTACATGCAGTAAAACACCGTGGAAAGCTGACACAGACCAAGTCATTGCCTAACTTAGAAATTTAACAATTAAGCTGTCCCCTTTTTGAAGTACTTCTAGATGGTGTTGTCTGATTGTGTTGGAATTGGGATTAGTAAGTTTGTGTTGTGTTCTCAGACAATTTACTGTCCTGTTTAAAAAATAAAAAATGCTCAATGTCAGTAATTGTCAGTGATCACAGTTATTCCGGTTAAAAGGAAATAAATAAGCTCAAGTACTGAAGGTATCATAAATCAAATCCTCTAATTTTCATCTCTTGAGGTTTAAGATGTGCATTTATAGCTTCGGTTCTAGGGAGCCAGGAGGGATGTTTCCAAGTGCTGTTCTGTACTGGATAGAAGCATCAAACTATAATCCCTTCCCTGTATTTAACCTTGTATACATGTGTGTGATGTAGTATGTATTTTAAAGAAAGATTAAAGGGAGAGAGCACCTATTCCACACTGAACCCTGTTTAATTTTGGAGGGGAAAAAATGGCACAGAACTAGTCTGTATGATTTATTGGAAGGTATAAGTTTGTATACGTTGTATGATGATTTCCTTCTTTATTGAGATTTTTTTTGACTCGGATGAAATCTAGACAGGTGCTTTTGCAAGATTGGTGCCATTTTAATTTGAACAATCTTGAGAGAGCAACATATGTTGTACGGTTTTCCTTTTGAAAAGCTTCCTCTGATTAAATAGCCAGTAGAAATGAGGAGGGTTGAAACAGTGTTACAGGCATTTTGATGCCTTTTTGACAGAGGTAAAGCAAATTAAGGAGTTAATTTTGTCTTTACGTCTTCTGAAACATGATTTTTCTTTAATTTTTTTTTTCTTTTTTTTTTTAAGCAGATACTTGATACTGTGTGTGTAGGGAGTAAAGCTGCTTTCTGTCATAGCAAGATTGAGATCCTGGAGGAAAGGCCCCTACTCTGAGGAAGGATATAGCTGAAAAATAGTTATTTTAGTTGTTGTTGCAGTATGCTAACTTGTTGTAATGATGATACTGCAATTTGAATGTACCTAGCTCTGTTTTCCAGGTCCTAAATTTCTAAAACTTAGCATCGGGTACAGCTGGTATTTGCTTTTTGTGCTGCCACACTTGCTGCTTTCATGCCGTCTCCCCCGCTGCTGCAGCGCTTGCATCGGTGCTGTGCACCAGCAACCGGCGCACGGAGGCCCGCCTTGCTGAGGCTGTCGGTGGCGAGTGTCCTGGTGCGCTTTGTGTGCCCAACACGTGTGGGTCACGGCAGGTGGAAGGAAAAGCTGGGGCTCCACATCACCCCAAGAGCCGCCAGCCCACGCCACGCTCTGCAGCTCGGCGAGGCGCCCGAGCCCCTCCGCAGGGTCTCCACGAGGTGGCACGAGCAAGCCGCCGTCGGGGATCCGGGAGCCTCCGACAGAGAAGGATGGTAATAGCTTTGTAGCATAATCTTCCTCTTTTTTTCGGAAGAGATTGTTATCTAGTGTGGGCTTCCCAGGGCAAAACCACAGGTTAACCAGGTCTGAGCCTTAGCAAGGCAGGTTCTGAGGAGACCTAAGCTGTCAGGATGGTGGGGATGGTGCAATGTCCTCGGGCTGTGGAGAAAACGACCCCTGCTCTCTGTCACCCGCTCTGGAAACGTACCCTGTGGCAATTCGTAGTGTCCTCTGCAGGTTTTGCTCCATCCTCCCTGCGCTCCGTCACCCAGGGAAGGGGGACCAGGGTGACTAGGCGTGAGGCAACCCTTGTGGGCACCCTGCTCCCACCTGTCGCTACAACTTGCATCCTAAAAAGGGGGGCAGAGCACAGGCTAAATTAGCCTCCTCCTTGGCATGAAACAATAGCCTTTTGAACAGAGGATATAGAAATCCTTGGGTTTTTTTCTGTCAGGGTCTGAGTGTGTGGCACACGCTGCCCTTTGGGCTGAAAGGTTCATCGTTTGATTCTGCCCAGCATTGCTCAGCTCTTTCCCTGCACACAGATTGCTCTGTGGGGATGAGCTGCATGCTACAGAAAAGAGGAGGAAAAAAGGAAAGGGAAAAAAGCTTGCTCTGTAATCTTTCTCCAGGTGGAAAATGAGGAAAGCTTCGTATACACTCAGACTTTGTCTAAAATGAGCCCCTTTACACCCATAAAGGCTTCAGAGGCATTTTGGGGTTTCTGCCCCTGTTTGTGCTCTACTACTTTCCCAGCAGCACTGTTATGAAGTATTTCATCAAAAGCCAGTGTCTCTACATCAGAATGAGTTAGTGGCAATGGTGGGCTTTATTTTATTTTGGTTTATTTTTTTCCCTTCAGATCTTGTTGAGCTGTAGGAAAGCCTTCCCCTCCTTCCCTCCCCCCAAAAAAGGAAATGTCAAACGAAGTATGTAATATCAAATTAAACACGGCACTGAATATACTCTGGCAAGTCATGGTAGTAAATTCAAGTTCTGAACAACAACTAGATGGAAGAGCCCATGAACAGCAATGATTCGAAAAAATCCAGTACACGGATCTAGTTTAAGTCAAGGAAACTCTGAAAATGAGGCCCTAAGGATTATCCGTCTTCTCTCCTATAATAGATGCTTCTGAATTCTGCTTATTGAAAGAAATAAATTTTAATTTAGGCATTCCAGCACTTGCAAAGTGTATATATGACAGAGCTGAAACCAGGTGAGGAATGGTACATTGTTTGAAGGTCTCAGAGGATACTCTGAACTGCGGAGGTGAAGGTTTTTTAAAATTCCTGGCAGTGTCTGGAAAATCCACTGTAGTATTTGTAATTTTAAATTATTTTGATGGTTAGAAATGTCTGCTTCCTTTGAACTGTTCTTTTCAGCTTAATTTAAAAATATATAGAAACGATGGGGAGGAAAATCAGCTTCTCTATGGTAAGATTAGATAAAGTGGCATTTATAACAGGCCCATGTCTGTGACCAAAGGTTCTGCGAGATTTGATTTTTAGCTTGGAGGTTTTCTCCTCCTGGTCATCGCTGCTCCCCCCCCCCCCCTCCACCAAAACAAAAAAAAAAAAAAAGAAGAGAAAAGGGAAAACCACAAGTCAATGAGAGCATGGGCTAAGAGCCGGCAGTAAAACCCCGAGTCTCTCCGGCAGCAGAGTGCAGTTCCCCTGCACAGCAGAGGATGGCTGTGTCGGGCAGTGCTGCACCTTTCTTGCTGTCCCTGCCACACCGCCCACCTCAGTACTGTATTCATGACACAAACGGGATCGGTCCGTCCCTATGTACACCGGCCAGCAAGGATTCACATTATTTGTGACAGACACCTCTGCCCAGCCTGCTCAGGATAGCGGCTGAGTGCTGCTGAGCATCCCCGCCACTGCCCCAGGTCACTCTCCCTCTCCTGAAATTTATAGGAAACAAAGCGTGGTCCCTGGCTTCCTCCAACTCCGCAGATTTTCAATCAAATTGCAGCTGTCATGGTTTGCATTTGTTGTGGTGCTTTTCCTCAGATAAATTAAGCTCTAAATCTCACACCCCAAGGCGTGCACAATTTGAGCTGTTTGTTACTCAGTGCAAATATGAAAATGGCTGAAGTATAGCTCTGTGTGTGTATGCACACACACAGAGGCAAACAAATATATTCATAATAAAAAACACATACAAGTAGGCAGGGTTTAGCTGAAAAGATCTGCCGGTACTTGCAGTAGCAATGTTAAATGATGATCCCTGTTTGAATCCAGTGTTACAAGGAAAGACCAGTTTGAAATTGGATTTGATTCTGGACACAGGAGAGGAGCGTAATATGTAACATTGCTGTGTTATTACCCCAAACTAAACTAAGAGGCAGCAGAATGGATTCATTGGCATATACTTCAATTTTTGTTTAAAATGTATGGAGTACTGGAAAATAGCTCATTTACTTGTGTCTTAAGTTCTCCAAGCTTTCCTGGAAAAAAAAAAAAATGTATCTATAAAATGTATGTATGTATTTTTTCATTCCTGGGCTTGGTTGGTGACAGATGTGACTTGTATTCTCCACTTCTATTAAGCAGGAGGGCTTTTTTATATGTAATATTTCTTACACGCAGAATCAGTTGGAAGCTAAACATAGGAAGAACTATTTGAGTAGGTACGTACCTCCTTAAATTTGGGCCTATGCACATGCATAAAAATTAAGTCTTTTCAGGACCTCATAAAAGCAGTGAGATGAGACACAGGGTTAAATACTGTAGTTCATCCTGGAAAGTCTGTGAATGCCTAGTATTTTTCGGTAAATACTGTTATACTGACCTTCCCACCCCTGCCCCCTTAACAAGTTTAGCATCCACCCATTCCCTGTGTTTCTGAAGGGTAGCCTTGTGGCATGAGTGTGTCTTGCTGCTGTTTGTAAAGGTATATGCTCCGCAATCCTAGCATCCCTTTTGGAGAGCAGGTAGTTAGTCATGTCGTAGCTAGGTCTCATTAATTATTTGCTGTCTATGTAAAGCACTCTCCAATTATACCACCAGGTACCTGTTGTTAAGCTACATTTATCTTTGCCTTCATTGTGCTTTTTCCGTAGCAAATTCCCTTGCATCCTCAGAGTTGCCATTTGTTCCCTGATGCCTGTTTTACAATCTCCTGTCCTGATTTTTCCTGAGCATCTTTGTATCATAAGTAATACGTACTCCTCCACTTCCCATTCCTCTCCCTGACCGTGTGGCTATAGCTGCAACTGTAAAGAAAGCCAGTGGGACATGCAGTTTAAGAAAGACTCTATTTGGTTTTTTAGGGGAATCTTCATTTCCTAAAACATTAATTGCAATGTTGTCTTTATAAATCTTGTTCTCTTTTCCCATAGGATTTGCAAATTGAACGAGAGAGGACTGTGTATAACATTTCTGGCGGCTGCACAGCCCTTGTGGTGGTGTATTTATTGGGGAAGCTTTACGTGGCAAATGCTGGTGATAGCAGGTGAGTAAGTGTGGTGTCTCCCCAACTATTCCTTCATCCCAAACTCCCCAGATCTGGTGTTACCAATTTCCTTAGTTGCAAACAGTATCACAAGAGGATTCTGTTTCTTTAACGGTCCTCTCAGAAATTAATGCAAATGGCACTGATAGGCTTCCAGTATCTAGTTGAGTGGTGGATGTAGACAGGGAGGTTGATGACACTTCTGTCCCTGTAGCAGTTTCTGAATGACTTGATGGTTGCAGAGAAGTGGAAAGACGCTAAAGAGCCATTGAAACAGAAGTGATGTTGGGTGTGTAGTAGAATTGTGTGTTGAACGCTGACAAGGTGACTGCATCTGGAACAGCTGGTAGGGCTGGACTGGTTCAGTAGGAAGTCCTGTAGCTCCTGTCCTCAGCCTTAGTCTTGGAAGGCCACCTGCCTCTCAGATTTTGAAATAAATGAAGGTAATCATCTGTAAGCAAATAACTGCTACTCCTGCAACAGAGAGGAGGGGAGGGAGAGGGGCTATCACAGGTTAGGATTTTTACAGTGTCCTGTTCTAGCTTGTGTACTTGTCCATTTCTCAGAACTGAATGCTGTTGTTCAGGAGTTGTTGCTTTGTTCTGTTTAGAAGTTGGATGCTTGAAGACTTGTGACGAGAAGCATTTTCTTTGTCTTCTGATTTAGCTAAAGCTAGGAGCATACTGGAAATCTCTTACTTGCATTTTTTTCCTCTCTCTCACTCTCTGCCTGTAACACCATCAGAGAGAGATAATGAGGCTGGTCTTGCAAGACTTTAGACCTTCACATGTTTCTTTTGGCAGTGCTCTGCATAAACAGGCCAGGGAGAATAGTTCCCCACATGATACAGACTGCTGTTGTGTTCTCTTAGCAGCTGAGAAATTAAAGTCTGCAAAGGTACCGAACTGCGTTGTCTTTAGGTGAAGACTGCTACGGTTATGCATTTGTGTTTGAGGTTTGTGCGCACACAGTTCATGTTTGTACTGTGTGTGCACAATGTATTTACAGAGACAGCAGTCAACCACAAAATGTTTTGTAGTTTAAACCTAACATTTTTATTGCCTCTTGCTGCTTTAAACTGTGTAGAAAGTCGGATAAATCTTTGTGCATAAAGTTCCTATTCTTTTCATGTTGGTGATTGTTCTTAGTATGCTGAATTTGCTATTTATATTGCAAATTGCTCACCCAATTCCTCTTGACAAGTGACATATATGAATCTTTTTCACATCAAATGTCAAATGAGTCCTCATGGAGGGTAGCTGCAAACATGGTTGAGTAGACCACCTGTCTAGTCATCAGAACCAGAACCACTAGCTGCACTAAATTTTAGCTCTTTTGCCATTAAATTAGAAATAATCATGTTTTCCTGTGCTATTGTACTTTAAGCACAGTTGAGTCTCTTCCATTGGGTTGGCTAAATTGTTTTATTGTCTCTTAAGTGTGCTGTGTAAGATTGGCCATGCAGGACCTACTTCTGAGTAGTTGAGATCTTTGTTCTTAAATGAGTGGCTGCTTCCAGTTCCCCCAGGATTCCTCCTCTGCTTCCTGAGAGCAGCCTCAGCTCCATTGCAGCCTCTGACACCCAACGGGAAGAAATTCATCGTTGGTGATCTTGAATTAGCCCAAGTGTCCACTGTAGTTAAAGCCACCAAGTCTTCAAGAGGCTTTGAATGTTCATCAAGCCCATCAAAAACATCTCTTCAGAAAAACAGGAAGAGCAAGAATTAGAAGGGAAGCCATTGGCAAGGCTGGGTCTTGTTTGAACTAGGACTCAAATTTTTCTACTCATTCCTCACATCTTGTAGGTAACAGGGTCCCTCCAGATCCAAAATAGTTTGGTTTTGCACTTTCTAGATGGAACTCATGGAAACCTTCCTCATGCTGAGGAGAGTTCTCTGGATTCCCAAAATCTTTCACATTCAAATAATCCCACTTCTAGACTTTCGTAGCTCAAGAAAATAAAAGGTTTAAAGTGCAGAAGATCAGTTGATCTGGGCCTCTCTCCCACCAAATCCCCACTTCCCATGAGAAAACCAGCTATTGCAAAACATCTAAGTTGCTCCTCATCACTAAAAGGACATTTTAGGACTAGAAAATGAGCTCTGAGGTTGTCTGCCAACTGCCAGGGTGCACAGTGCATTCCTGTATTTTTAAGAGCCCAGTCACATAGCCAAGAAGTTTTATTCGTGTTAGTTGGAAAAATATATTCCTTTTTGCTGCCTCATGCCTTGCATGGTGAACTTCACGGTTTGTACAGATACAAATGGGGGTGATGAGAAATACAATAAGGAAACTACTTTAAAAAAAAAAGTTTGTCTGCTCTTGAAGAAGGGTGGGGTTTGTTTTTTCACCCAAACAGGACACTTGTGCTTGTTGCTGTTGGAACTAGATGCCGAAACCCTCAGTTCTGCAGTTGAGCTTTAGTTTGTTTGAGTTCACCTACTCATTTGTGCCTCTTCTCTGTCTGCACTCTCCTTCTCTCCTCTGCGCTCCCCCACTGGAAAAAGCCTACAAATAAATCAAGCTACATTTCCCACAGACGAGTCTGTGAGAGGAGGTTTTGGGCTGGAGGGGTGGGAAATAAACATTTGGGGTTCACGCAAGCCTGATTTGTACTGCCTTGCCCAGAAGAAGGTTAGGTCTTTTAATTCCAGGCAACTTCAAAACAACAGAAGCTTTTAAAGGTGGGTTTTGAACAGCTTCTGCTGTCACAAGACCAAGGTATGTGCAACAAACTGTTACTATCACAATGAGACTAAGGAAACACCAAGTGTGAGACTTGAATAATAATGTGCTATGCGGTGCCATCTATACCTCAGACTTATGTCTGTGGTATTCAGTTTAACCACCAAAGCCTCTCAAATCTGATCATTTCATGCCATGTACCCTGGCAGTGTTGTATAGCAGCTGTCCTTTTGTAGTTGATGTGTAATTACATCATGAAAAGACTTTAATTACCATATTACTAAATTACCAGCCAGCAATCCTTTCAGGTTCAGCCCTAGCTCACTTCTGTATGGACTATTAGGCTTCTCCAAGCTGAACACTTCTGGTTGGTGTAAAAGGGAGGAAAAATTGTGCTAATTGTAGGTTTTGTTATGAACTATTATTGAGCTTGATGTTATGGCATCAGTAATGTCAATGATATAATTAAACTTCTGCTAACGATGCAATCACAGTTCTGTAATAATTATACATTAACTGCACATGATACCAGAACCATACTAAAAATGAGGTGACGTATTCAGAGCCTGATAAAAACAACTTGGAGGGAGCTGCTTTCATTCTCTAATGGCTTGTCTGATCATTCTTGGACTCTGCCATAAATATACCTACTTGTACAGTCAAAATTCATGTCTGAATATTGGCCAAAGCTTTTTCTAATGTTTCTCTCTCTTTCTAACCTCTCAGAGGTTAGGATTGTCCATGAAAGGTTATCTAATTAAGGACTGATAGTGCTATAGTCAGCTATTCAATATATAGTGCTTTTCTGGTGAGCATTGATGTGCTGTGCTTTGCTTACCAGTTTGACATATACACTGTGGTAACTAGGCCAGGCTCTCTGAATAGCTGCTTTTTTTTAATAAGGAATAGGGTCTTCTCTGCTCATTCTTTTAAACAGTGTTGTTCAATTTTATATTGCTAAAGTGACTTTTACTTCTAAACTGCCATAACACGCCTTGTTAATCTCAGTTCTTTTTAGTTTTATACTCTTTATTAGGATGTTGTTTTATAGCTAGTGATGAAGCAGTAGTAAAACAGGGACTTAATGTTTTTACTGATTACTGCCCAATTATTGTATAGCCTCATGCAGCATAACATTTGCCCAACATCACTACAGTGACTGTAATGCAATATGATCATATTAACTATCTTGGGCATGAGTGTTCTTCTGGCTTTCATGTTGTCTGGCTAAGGAGCTGCTCGGAGACTGCAGGCACTGCCATTTTGTGCTGTGCTTAAAGCCATGTAGGGTAGCTGTGCTTTTATCATTATGCGAAAAGCAGAACACCACAAGTTGATTTGACTTTTCCACAGGCCCTGAAACTCTCACTAAATCTGCAAATGGGTTCTTGGGCTTTTTTGATTTATTGGCAGAAGATGGGATCAAAGCAAAGAGCCTGATGTTTCAGAGGCTTCACAGACTTGCAGGGTCACTGGATTTTTTGCTTTGCTTCATCAGCTTTTTTAATCATCTTTTTGCTTCCTTGCTTTTGCTTCCCTGTGCTTATGTTTTCAGGGTATATTCACCCTCTGCTTGAACATATATCCTCATGTCCAGAATAGATTTTCTCCTTTTTGCAAGTGTAGAATTAATGCTGAGGCATTTGGTATTGTTAAATGTTAGGAGCTCATTGAGTGAATGTTTTTGTGGTGCTTCCATCTGGGTGCAGGTTAAGCAACTTCATTGGTGCTTCAGGTGCCCAGATGTGGGAGAGTGTGTTTATAACACCGACTTCTCCCAGTGTAATAAAATAGTGAATTGAAAATTGAATTCTACTTTGTTTACTGTTTCAGTTCTTTCCAGATTTGCTGCTTGTGTTGAATCTCACTACGTTTATACTTCCTCTTCTTCTGTGTCATGGTGCTTGTCAACTGCTTCCCTCATGCATAGTTCTCATCATAGGAAGTCAAATTTGGGGGATTAATCTGCTTTTATGAAGTAAATGAGAGGGGCATGGATACAGCCACGTATCTGCTGACTGGCACTGTAGCTTAAATAGAATTTCTGAGAAGTCTGAATTGATGAGTCTGACCCATTTTTGTGGTTCATGGTATCTGACCTCTTCCTCAAGGCAGTCCAGCAGGGTGATTTTTGCCAGAAGCTCTAACACTGTGTAAGGATGGAAACCAAAAAGTCTGCTTTAGTCTTTGGTTTACAGTATTTTTAACAAACTTCAATTTTCTGATTTTCTTAACTACCCATCTTCTAATCTAAATGGTGTATATTTTCCTTGTTTTACTTGAGTGGTCTGCCTAAGCCTTCTGTCTCCTTACAT